GCTGCCGAAATTTCTAAAAATCTAAAGAGTTAGTTAAATTGTCTTAGCTGAACTCAGGCCTTGTTTCCTGAGTTCATATCTGACTTAGTATAAATCTGAAAAATCTACTCTGTATAGAAGAGATTCTGTCAGGATCTACCTTTCTTTTGACACTTGCTTAGAGATAGACTTAGGCTTAGTTAATTAGGATGGTTTTGAGTGAGATCATGGTAAAGGAGGTTATTCTCGATTTGGACTTATAGATCTAGCTTGGGGATTGAACTGTCTTGTGTTACAGGTCCTCTTGATCGATTGATTCAGGACTTGGGCTAGATTCAATTTGATGCTACAAGGATCATCTTTTGTTATCACTGATAACAGGTCGGTTGCCGATTCATCGGTTTACGACTCAGCTCCAATTCATCCTCAATACTCAACCTAAAAGGCTTTAGCCCTGGTGATTTTATTGTTTTATTAATGTTTCACCCGGACTTTTATTGAATGGTCATTTAACAAAGGTACTGAGTATTTAATTATGGTTGGTTGGACAGAGGCTGGGGTTTGCATGGCTAAAGCGAGGGGTACGAGTATAGAGATTGGTTGGAGTTGACTCCGTGTTGTGCATGGACTCTTGCTTGACTCTTTGATGTGATTGCAGGTATCTTCTGTGGTTCGGATTTTGGATTGGACTGCCTACGATCACACATATATATATGGCGGTGAGGAGTCCCACTGTGATTGTGAAAAGTGATCGTCACATACTTATTCTCCTTTATATATATATATATATGTGTGGGTGTGTGTGTACCTATGCTGGGTGTTCGCGTGGCCTGAGGGTCCCCGTACTAAGGATTTAATTAGGGGTGGAGATTGAGAAAAGAAGAAAGACCCCTCTATTTGTTTGTATGCTTCTTGAAGAATTCTTAGTCGGACGTTGGTCCTGAGCCTGGATTCGAGGTCCTTGTCCAGGACATCGCAGGCCCTAGACTCTGCATGGAAGGGATTACCCCTCGGACAAAGCCTATTTGCCTTGCCTGCCGAGACACTCAGGCCAAAGGTCGGAGGTTTTGCGGTGGCCTCACGATTATTCCTTCAGTCGTGCAATGTCGTGAGGGAGTAGGCCCTCACGATACTTCGAATCTGACACTTTAGTGTCATAAGCGGTACTCGGATCCACGAGGGACCGCTTGATTATGGGCACTGTATAGTACGCCATCATTACGACTGCTTGCGTACGCTTGCATTGCAAGTCAATATGAGTTAGCCCTGCGTCCGCGCGATTTTATACTAAGTCTCTCGCCCAACGCCGGTTTGATTTTTTGCATCGGAAAGTTATGGGACGACTACCGAGGGACTAGGAGCGTGGTCGCATTGTTTTGTTTGTATCGTTTCGTGTATGTATACGTGAGTGCGTGTTTTTAATTTTTTATGTTCTTTATAGTGGTGTGCGCGTGGTGTGTGGGATGCGTCCTAATCGACCGACGACGGGTCGCGCTTGGGACTTCAGCCCCCCAAGATGTCGGTTCGCATACGGGTTCAATAGAGGCATATTACCGCGCGTACCCCCTATGCTACAGCGAACGAGAAACGCCCTCGACTGGTCCACCTCTGCGATTGCAATCGATCAACTTTCGTACTGTGAACTGGTAGCTCGGCGGGGATACGCCCACCGAAGGGAGGTGACAACTCCCGTAAGTTGGAGGTAAGTCTTGCCTCGCGTAGGCCCTATCCTGTCATAGGGGCTCGCGAGAGGTATGGCTGGCGCACTCGGTCGGAGCGGCTTGTGGAAGCTCCATGTATATTCGCAACGAAGGAACAGACCAACTCTTGCGTGACGCGGCCGGGAGGGTCCCGCGCTGCCTTGTGCGGTGCCGGACTGATGCGCTCGACACCGCGCTGTGAGCGAAGGGCGAGGAAGTCGCGCCAAGTGGAGACTGCATGACCTGTGAAACGAGAGGACATCTCGACGGGCCACAGTTCCATGGCGACACCATGGTAACGAAGCTGCTCCTCAGCAGTAAAGATCCATCCTTGGAGCTCGGAGGCCCTGCCGTCAAACTGCGGGAGGCGATCCGGTAGGTACTGTGGAACATACATTGGCGGTTGATAATGGGTAGGGAGAGGAAGAGCTGACTGTGACAAGAGGACAAGCGATGTAATGGCACCAGCAAGAGAACTAGAAAGAGCAGGGAGTTGGGCCAAAGGTCCCTGACACATCGTGGTGGCCGGTGGTGGAAGAGTGAAATGCATCACAGCGGCCTGTGTCTGATGCTGTTGGTAGATGAAAGGGGCAATAGGTTGTGTCGCAAGGTGGGGAGGCAAGGGTTGACCTCCTTGGAGCTGGTGGATGTGATCATGGGCCAGGGCGAGCTGGCGTTGGAGCTCAACATTTTGTGTCCTGGGTGTAGGAGGAGGAGGGGGGGGAGG